CAGTTGCATATGCAACATGTGCAGGGGTGAGTATCACTACTGGGAGGGAAATGTATTTGGTTAATGAATTACTTGTCAAACAGAGGAGTAGATGGTGGCTGTCAGAGGCTGTTTGATTATCAAGATGACATTAGGTTTGACTTTACTTGTGTTTCAGGCAATTCCTCAAATAGTCATACAGCAACTTAGCATGAGCAGCCCAGCTGTCCAGATGTTTTTCAGGTCCGTATTACCAATTCCCCTCTCAGGTAAGTGCTTAGGATTTGAAATACTGTATAAAGTAAGTCTGATCTAGGACATCAGGGTACCGTTACAAAGAATGATCAAAATAGCAATTTTAGATAAAATGGTATCATTTCTGTTCAGAATCAGTGCCCCAGTTCTTGAGTCCTAACATTAACTGATTGTGTCTTATGAACAAAGTACTTGATTGATTTATTGATCAAAGGGTGTTTGTTTCTGAAGCCATTATCCACATTTTTGGATAGGCTGGTGTTCCTTCTCTCAGATCTCTGCTTTATCCCATAGCCTCCCTGGTCATTGTTAGTGAGGAGTCCGAGAATGGAATCCAGGTGTTTGATTCCAATGGGAATTCTGTTGGAATCTCCCAGGCAGCTGGAGCAAAGGTGAGAGGAAAAAGTTACTGATGGAAAATAAAAAGGAATTAGCAGGCTTTTAATATACCTTTGTTAATGGTTGTTGACATGTTTCCTGGTTAGGCTGTGAAGGAGACTGCTTTTTCCAGAGCTGCGTTGTTAGGCACTACGGCTGCTTTTCCTAATCTTCTTGTGTTCCTCTTGCAAAAGGAAGTCACCCGTCTTGTGCTGGGGCTGCATTTCCCACTATGACCTATTCAATTATTTGATTACATTGTTACTTGATGGATATATTGTACATTGTTTTGATATGATAAAATTAGCTAATCCGTTTATAAATAAATACTTGGTCAAACAGCTTTGTAAATATTGCCTATGATATAACTAATACAATAGATGTATTTACCTAAAACTATGCACAAATTGATCCCATCTTTTTCTGTCATTTCAGAGCAAGGTTTCTGCAAAGGAGGCCTCTGCTGGTGGCTCCTATACATCACATCAGCACCGTTTGTCCTGGGCCTGATGATCCCAGTGTCCTTCAGTGTCTATCCACAGCTTGGAATGGTAGGACTTCGATACATTACATTAATACTGTATTTACTGTGCATTTCTCAAAACCCAATCAGACTGCAACTCAACATTGTTTCTTCTGCTTTACAGATCAAAAAAAGGAAACTTGGAAAAATAATTACAGACTGCAGCAGTAAGTGGTCAACTATTCTATCACAGGGGGCTCTGAGGCACCGGCGAACAAGTACTACAGACTTCAATGTGGGAGCAGGTGCACCAAATTCGGGTGACTTCATTGACTGGGCAGCATGAGAAGCAACCTTTCGAAGGCCACAGGATGCAGTTTATGGAATATGCCCTGTTACTTCATACACTGGGATGATGAATCCAGTCATAATTAAAGACATGCTCCAGAACTTTGGCCACTGCTAAGTATTTTTTCAACCTCTCGCTTTGGGCTGGATGTGTCAGTGTGTAGTTCATACATGCATAATCTATAAGCAGATTTACTGTCTTACCTCAATAGGTTGCTATAACCTAGCCTACGAATGAAAGTTTATAACGTAGGTGCACAGGTCGAGAGACAAATTGGAGTAATCAAGGTGACAGACAGTGACACATTCAATACCGCCTTGCGGTATTGAAGGTTTATCCCCGTTTAAGGTTTATCCCCGTTTTGTTTGCTACCAGTTAAGAAACGTTAACAGAATCAGCGGAATGAATATACCCCTGATCACCTGCACGCACAGTTCACTTTCATAGCAGCCACATACAAACATCATCATCACTTTGCTCGTTAATTCCTTCTCGTATCTACGCGCTCTCTTCCTCCTCTCACCTTTTCCCTTCTCTTGTGGACTTCAGTTCACAACACAACAGCTGTCTGTGACCAGCCGAAAAAACCTTTCCAAGCCAAACCTTCATACCATAACCGCTACACACAGCCTACACCGTTGTCACCATATTAGCTAATGTCATAGTCTACTAGAACTAACGCGTTAGTAAACCCGCTACACCAGCGGGCCCCGGTGGCAATAAATTAATAAAACCGAAAGCTTACCTTGACTTGGAAGAGTACCAGTGTTTGATAGCCTTAGCCAGCTAGCTAACATAAATAGCATTCCTCTCTGTTTGAGCCGGGTGTTTGAGTAGGCTAAATTAGCTAGCTGCATTAACTATTGTCCTTTTCTCTCTTTGAGTCAACTACTCACCACATTTTATGTACTGCAGTGCTAGCTAGCTGTAGCTTGTACTTTCAGTGCTAGATTCATTCTCCTTGATTGGGTGGACAACATGTCAGTTCATGCTGCAAGAGCTCTAAATAGCTGTCCTCTGGCTACACCATGGTGCTACCCCAGAAAGTGCTGTTGAGGCTACTGTATACCTTAATTGAAAACAATGTGTTTTAATCAGTTATTTGGTGATATGTGAATATATTTAGTATAGTTTTATCTGAAAATGATAACATTAATTTCACTATTTATTTGTTAAATTCACTGAGTAGGATGATCATCCCCTTCCTTCTTCCTCAGTGGGGCCTGATACACAAGTACTGGAAAATCCCTTTAATTACAAATTGATAAAGAACAGAGTCCATGTTCATATTCAGTTTAATGTAATAACTGCAACTTGTATGTGGATGTAAATAAACAAAGCACTGCAAATGAATTGTAACCATGAGAATTTGTATAGCAAAAAATATTCTTCCTCGTACAGCTTTTCACATGTGATTTGGTTTGCATGTATTCATATTGCACTCCATTATTTATTTGTTAAACATTTAAAGGAGATATCCCTATTTTTCTCCCACGTCGTGGAAGCTTGGCATATTACAACAACAGTTTTCAAACAACTCTCCCCCCGCCCCCTTTCTCAACAAGCCTAGTCATTCCCCCTTTGCATGCTCTCTCCCTTTCATTCTAAAACGTGTGGATTTGTTTACATAGGCATAGCTAGCCAGCCATTCCATACAGCAGCAGTTTACTAGCTAACCACTGGACACACAGAATGTCGAGTGATGAGGTGAAATAAAACGTTAAACTCCAAAAATTATTTTGTATTGTAATACCATATGGCAACATTGTGCAATTTGTCAAGTTTCCGTGATGTGTTCTGTCGGTTACTTTGCCAGCCTTGCTAACGTTTGCTAAACCAAAGCTAGTTTGACACAATGCTAGCTGCAATAGTTTCAACCTTGTGAAATTGTTTTGTAATAGCCAATGGATGTAAGAAAGTATTTCACATAGCAGGACATCTAGCTAACGTCATTCAGGGAGAGCCAGGGGCAGAGGACAGACATGTAGAGGCAGGCAGCAGAGATACAGAAATGAGGATGAGGAGAGGCTTTTTGCTCTCCAACGTGATAGAATGGCTGCCTCACAGGTTTGTATTATATTGAAAATGCCTATATATTTAACAAAAATAAAGTATTATTCCTTGAATAGTTGAATAGTTCATGTATGAACAGAATAATTGGTGGCTGAATACATTTAGGTTTTTGGTATTTCTCCATACATACTACTTTCAATAGAAACAAGATCTAGATTAATCAATTTGCAATAGAAAGTAGTGTTTGAATTGGCTTTGAATGAATCGTAGACCTTGACCATACATATGAGAAATATATTTTGTTGGGTGTGTTGAGAAATATCACATTCTGCCTTACTGATAATAGGCTATGTGTGCATCTGTTAGTTCAGGAATACCTCATCAGGGATCTGGATGATGCAGACAACAGGGAGGTGGTGAGGCTGATGTTTCAGTGAGAGCCAGGGTTGGTTTTTGATGTCTTAGAGTTTTACCGGCAGTGCAATGGTGAGCCACCACCTGCACATGTACCAGGTGCACCTGTGGCAACTGCAGGGAGATGCCTACAGACCGAGAGAGGGAGTGTTGCGGTCAGGAACCAGACCTCTGTGTAAGCGTGCTGCCACATTTCACCCATTACATTTACATTTGACATTTTAGTCATTTAGCAGACGCTCTTATCCAGAGCGACTTACAGGAGCAATTAGGGTTAAGTGCCTTGCTCAAGGTCACATCGACAGATTTTTCAACTAGTCGGCTCGGGGATTAGAACCAGCGACCTTTCGGTTACTGGCACTACACTCTTAACCACTAAATTACCTGCCGCCCCATTACTGCTTAGACAACAGATATTTACGTTTGCACAGGCGGTATAGGGTCTGATGCAGCAGAGCCTGGAGATGACGCCCAGGAGTACCGGCATTCTGCCTACACACAGTTTGTGTTGAGGCAGGATGGTGCCCTTGGTGCAGGAAACCGAGTTGTCATCCCCAGTTGCTGTGTTTGGAGAATCAGGGACACTTTCCCTGATCCCCATTCACAGTACACTGGCTTCCACCCTGGGCGCTAGGATTCTCAAAGCATTTGGCATGATAGTGTTATGCCCAAAGAGTGTCCATTGCCAGACACTTATTGGCATCACATCAGTATGGCATCATGTCACTTGCTGTGAACAGAACACAACCTCTCCCTCAGTTTGCATTCTCCACACACAAACACCTGCCAGGTGCATCTTCAGGACATCAAAAACCTTCTTACTGGTCACACCATGTCATATCATCGTGTAGCTCAGTTGGTAGAGCATGGCGTTTGCAACACCAGGGTTGTGGGTTTGTTTCCCACGGGGGGCCAGTATGAAAATGTATGCACTCACTAACTGTAAGTCGCTCTGGATAAGAGCGTCTGCTAAATGACTAAAATGTAAATGTAAAATGTAATGTACTTAATGTAAAACGGTTTGTATGTATGTGGGTCGTTACCTGGGTTTCTCACAGGGTTGCTGAGCTGGAGGAGGTTTCTGGAGCTCCTGCATGGTCTCGAGGTTCACCCAACTCTAGGGGGAGGGAAAGAATGAGAAATGTGGAGGTTTAGTGTACCGATACCGTGAAAGTATAAAAAGACAACTATTCATTGACTGCATAGATATCATCTTCTACAGGCTTTGTTATAACTCATTCTGATGTCTGATGCAATTCTACCTGATATTCCTGCCTTCAGTTTTCTACATACCTAGGCCTCTTCTCACTTGTGATTGCACAAGTTCCTCAGTTGTTGGTGGAGGAATAGGGGGTAGGAGTCCAAGTCTTTTAGGGTCTTCAGGCCTTAGGGTTCTTCTCCTTGGCATCCAGCCACCAGATTACAACCGCTTCCTCAAAATCTTGCATTGGAGGTCCGGAATGTATCTACATGTCTTCTTAGTTTTTAGTGAGTAGACACTCCAATGTTTTGCTTTTTTTTTTTTTATACAGTCTTATATAGCTATAAATCAACATAATTTGAGAGTATGCATTGTGTTATAAAATATAACAAATGTACTTTCAAGGACAATTAGTAAGGTCACAGATCTTGCAATCTGAGTACAACAGAACAAATAAGGTTGTGCATCACCTCCCTCAATGGTTTAGAGAAAGGAGATTGGATGGTTTACAATACACTGCAAATACACTTAGAAGTTCCTGTTAAAAGGAAGCCACACTTTTGAGTAATTATTCCCAGACAGCAAAATGTTTGTGGCCAAAAAAAAGTCACCTGACAGCATCACATGCTTCACTGTGGGCTGAGACTTCCATTTCCAGACGCAGAGACCTTTGGGGCCGATCTGTAAGATTACATTTACGTCATTTAGCAGACGCTCTTATCCAGAGCGACTTACAAATTGGTGCATTCACCTTATGATAGCCGGTGGGACAACCACTTTACAATTTAAAAAAAATATATTTTTCTAAAATGTTTCATTTTTAGAGTATATTTTTAATTTTCATTTGTTTTATATATATATATATATATATATACTGCTCAAAAAAATAAAGGGAACACTTAAACAACACAATGTAATTCCAAGTCAATCACACTTCTGTGAAATCAAACTGTCCACTTAGGAAGCAACACTGATTGACAATACATTTCACATGCTGTTGTGCAAATAGAATAGACAACAGGTGGAAATTATAGGCAATTAGCAAGACACCCCCAATAAAGGACTGGTTTTGCAGTTGGTGACCACAGACCACTTCTCAGTTCCTATACTTCCTGACTGATGTTTTGGTCACTTTTGAATGCTGGCGGTGCTTTCACTCTAGTGATAGCATGAGACGGAGTCTACAACCCACACAAGTGGCTCAAGTAGTGCAGCTCATCCAGGATGGCACATCAATGCGAGCTGTGGGAAGAAGGTTTGCTGTGTCTGTCAGCGTAGTGTCCAGAGCATGGAGGCGCTACCAGGAGACAGGCCAGTACATCAGGAGACGTGGAGGAGGCCG